AAGAAATGACACAAAAGCATGTATACTACTCACAAGAAGTAAAAAGAATACCCAATTCTTTCATATTGTAGTCATACCCATGAAGATCCGGGTTAGAATATTGATCTTCAGTAACCCATGCTTGTCGTAAGAGGCGACTAACGGGATCGGGTGGTCAAGCTCGCTGACTTGGTTGACACATGTCATTGGTTCCCAATTGCGCAGATCGATGCTCATGCTGTTGATCACTGGATTGTCTGGTTCAGACTCAATTATTTACAGACCGCTGCCATATAGCTGGAATATTGCTGAGTGCGGCGTAAAACTAAACTCACTCACTCACTATTGTAGTCATCCATGATGGCAGATTAACAAACTAATATGAAAGCATCAGGTTTTCTTTAACATCTTTAACATGAGTTGTATGAATAAAAAGTCAATAACATGTCCACAACATACAAGTGAAGCTTAAACAAGATCAGGGCAAAACCTAGCAATTTATCATTCTGGCTGTAAATACCTTTGGCAAAAATCATAGCATGTTTCATATACTTTTCTGATAGTGTCAAACATTATCTGAGAGCACCCTCACTGATCAAAATCTGAATGTAATGTAGGTACCTCATCATAATAGTAACAGTGTAAACAAATTAATTAAAGCTTTCTGTTCTGTGCTAAAGTGCTCAACCTGTATAAAACTATGAATGCTAATATATTTTAAATCTATTAATGTCAGCAATGACCACCTGGTTTTGCCCTTGAGGTGAACAACAGGCCACAGTTACAATGTCAAATCACAGGCTCTTCTCTTTCACATAGGTACCGGTAAATCACAGTCTTGTCAAAGGGACAAAGCAACACATCTAAACTAACAAAACAACGTAAAATGTAAATAGATCAAAGATCTACAAAATATTCACAACAAATGAAAAGAAAATGAATCAAACCTCCTATCACATGTACGTTAGTGTCAGTTGGATTTTCATTTTGATAAACATGTTTTTACATTTTCTCGCTCAACTGAATTTTTTGTTCAGGTAGGGGAAATATCTTTGTCACTGATTTGCACTTTTTATCAGATTTATCAAGGTCAGTTAACTATGTGTCATAATTTCAGGCCCTGTTAAGTTGGAATAATAAAAATAGATTTATCACGGTCACATGGAAATTGTTCAAAACAATCGAGTAATGAAAATGAAAAACTAAATAACATCGCTTTTACACCAAGTTCATTGAACTTGCTGAACACATTTAAGTTACATATTTTGTGCATATTTTAAACATATTCTATTAATTATGGATGATAAACTAGATAAACACTCTTCACAAGCTGAGATCTCTTCATATGTCATCAGTTTACACCTCACCAATTACATGATGAATTTCTGAATGAATATGTTATCTGTATGCGCCTATTTAATTTAAGATCCTGACTGGTTTGATTATCCTGTTGACTTCTTAGTGAGTGAGTATGGTTTTATGCCAGCTCTTAGCAATATTCCAGCTATATCACACCAGAAATGGGCTTCACACATTGTACCCATGTGGGGAATCGAACCCGGGCCTTCAGTGTGACGAGCGTACCCTTTAAACATTAGGCTACCCCGCTGCCCCGTCAGACTTCATAAGCTGATTAGGTTCCCTCAGGTAACTGGCATACCATACCTAATGAAGCAAGTGCATGTACCATCTATCAATGACTATGACTATCTACTATGAAACTGGTCCAGTCCATGTCATCCTATCCAAGCAAATGTCAGATAACTTTACCTTGCCATGTAATACCTGTATTTAGCACCTTATTTTCATAGATCTGTTCTCTTGTGAAGTTAAAATTGGTAATCATGAAGCAGTTGAATTTAAATCAATTTTATTGACAGACTGGCTACATTTTATTAAGGTGTGTCCAGAAATTAATGGTGTTAAGTTTAAGACTTCTTTTGTTTTAAAACATCTCAAATTTGTTTGAAGTGATTATCCAGTCTGCATCCCAAAATATGATCAGGAAAGATACGGAGGCTCTTAAATGTGTGTATTTTAACTACTTATGCACATATGCCATATATATATATATTTATGCAATAAACAATCATCACTCTTAAAATCATAAAATACAATGAATGTTATAATAAATCTAAAAACTTTTAATTCATGAAAGAAAATATACTTTGTCACCTATAACTTTGTTTGTGCTAATGGAAATCTGTTGGTTAAATATATTTGTGGTATTCCATCAGTCGGTATACTAGTTTAATGTTAAATATAACACACTGACAACTGATAGGAATGCACACACAATCAATCAGGGTTAAAATCATACAATGCTACTAAAAGATGCAAAAAATACCAAATAGGTTTGACTACAAAAAAACACAACACCTACAACTATAGTTCTTATAATTTATATATGTGCATTATTAACAAATGCGGAGTATTTGTAAATATACATAATGTTTCATTTATCACATCTGGCCATTTCATCAAATTTAACAATTTAAAGGTAAACATTTTTTGTGAAATATAGTTTCAACATTTGAGCCCATGCAATCAGAGGAAACTATCCAATCTGAAACTGAGCATTGTAAAACAAGCCATCAGTGTAGAGTATGAAGGATTGCTACACTATCGGTGCACACTTGAGAAGGAATTGTAACACTATCTTTGCAGAGAAAGGGTTTCTATTAGTGCAGATTTCATAAAGGATTGTTACACTATCATTGCATACTTGTGGAAAGGATTGTTACACTGTTAATCCACACTTCAGTTTGATAATTATACGTTAAGTGCATGCTTGATGGGAAGGATGGTTACACTATTGTTGATGACAAATAAGATGATCCTGAACACTGGGATTGGAGGAGGTGCTTGTTTCACTGTACACCATCAGTGCCATGAAAGATAATGATAGTGTATGTCTCGTTCGTAATTCTGGAAAGTAGGGGAGAGTAATACAAGTAGAGCAATATTGTTTGAAGCAGCAAAGGTCACTCTGGTTTGTAAAGATTACATAAACTGAACAAGAAAGGTTTGTGAAAAGACTAACAGATTTTGGCATTAGAAAAGCTTTACCTTGTGTATTTGTGTTCAATTACGATTCATTAATCTGAAATCAGAGAATCATCCTAGTAGAAGGCATATATATTGATATGGAATAACATCACTACATGGAGATATGTTAAAATAACCAAGGTTGGTCATCATTATACCCATCTGAAGCTTTTCTTACTTAACTACCAGCCCCAAATGAGCATATAATGAATAACCTTTAAAATGCATTGATGGAGGAACATGTTAGATAGATTATACTTATTCAGGGCTAAGCTGTCTCACTTACCAGCCCCAAGTCAGCATAATGTACCTCATCACTTCAAGTATGGTAAAATATAATCAAATTGGGCAAAGCTTTCTTATTCACTGGCCCAAGATGAGCATACACCATTTGATCCCTCCACAATGCATTGTTACAGTCACACAAACATGATTATGATAATCCATTGCAAGGGCTATGCCGTCTCACTTACCAGCCCTCACAATGGATATTGATGACTTGAAGAAATGAACCTCCCTAGAAACAACCGATATGTCTTCTCTGACAGGGTAACTGATACTTTGACATTTAAAGTTGAAAACTAACTTTGTACAATATAACCAATGATATGATCTGATAAACTTTGAATGAACATATACTCACCTTCAGGACTGAATAAATGCAGTTAAATGATGATGATGATTATGATGAGGCAGGTAAACTGTACACATACATAATAACATACAGCCCCATAAATATATCATTGATAATACTCTAATAGTTTACCTGCGTGGAATGATGCAAGTCTAGAGAAATACTTAATATCATATGTAAACGTACACATTTGTAGTTGATGTCTTAGCAAGGGAAATGACAACTCAGGGTCTGCTACAACAACTTCAAACTGGCAAACCATTTCAATGACCCATGTTTAAACCTACTGACTGGGCAGGACATACTTACCATATATTACTGTCTATAAGCCGACCCCATAGATAAGCCAACCCCCAAACTTGACCCTTAAAATCAGTGTCAAAATGGTATGTTTCGTGCATAAGCCGACCCCCCAAGCAATGGGGTCCTAATCGTGGCAAACACAGACCACAGACAACTGGCGGTTACCAATAATTATAACTTTGGTCCACATTATTAAAAACCCTGCGTAACCTGGTACACATCATCACTTGTTTTCACTCATCCATTAATGTATTTTCACCAGTACTTTGCCTTCTACGTAAAGAGGCAGGTGATAGAGGCTGGATATTCTCTGGTGTTGAGGTTTTACGCTTATGAAATATTTTCAAGATATATTGTGGTATTTATGCTTCTTTTCTATAAATACTGTAAAACTATGATGAATGTCTGTCATGTATATCTGAATACTAAGTCTTGTAAATGTCTTTACTGACAGACAAGTATATATTTTTTTAACACTGACTGACTGAGTTTGGCTTTACGCCGCTTTTAGCAATATTCCAGCAACATCACGGCGGGGGACACCAGAAACCGGCTTCACACGTTGTACCCATGTTGGGATTCGAACCTGGGTCTTCGGCATACGAGCCAACGCTTTAACCACTAGACTACCCTACCGCCCCTATTTTTTAACAGTGCTCTTACTGTTTGAAATCAATTCACTTGATGAAGTCCCTGTAAATCTGTGGAGACCTGGTCAGATAGTGGCAATATCCGGGCTTAGAATATATAGAACTTTCACTTTTACTCTCTCTCTGAATGAGATGGTGGGGTAGCCTAGTGGTTAAAGCAATCACCTGGGTACAATGTGTTAAGCTGATTTATGGTATCCCCCGCCGTGATATTGCTGGAAAATTGCTAAAAGTGGCATAAAACCAAACTCACTCACTCTGTCAAATAAGATGCATTACAACTGCCTTCTAAACATGTCCCTGACACCTCTTATTCTGAATCAAGGAAGAACAATGCAAAGACTGTTTAAAAACTCCTTGAACCCACAGCCCTAACAAGGAGTTACAATGGGGAAAATGGAACTTAAAGCTATAAGCTATGTTTTTAGTTTCCATACCAAGTTAAATAAACAGTCACAAGGCACAATAAATGAAATGACCAATTTGTGTGGCGAATTATTTGAAGCAGTTTAGTCAGATTTGTTGCTGATGTAGACAATGTTGTGTTGTCATTTCTATCGCTAGTCACATCAGTCTACACCATCACATTACATAAAGGTAACTCTTTTACTTGAGCAAATAGTTGCCAGCACTTCACTAGCTGTGGGACCTAACCTGGCTGGGGAGTTGGAAGGGGAGTCTGTTGGGGACAGCGTCACAGGCTGCATCCCATCATCGGTGTGAGGAACCGTGTCCGTGTTCAAGTTGCCGTTCCGTGACAAAGAATCACTGACCTCCGAGTACTGGTCAAAGGACTCCCCCAGTCCTTCGTCCTTGCGATGTGCAGACATGACACTCTCAGTGGAGTTTGGTCTGTCGTCACGGAGATGAACCTTGTCCTCCAGTCCAGTCAGCCTCCCATGATCCTCCTCCTCCTCCAACGGCGATGCCAGATGAGTCTCGATTTTAATCTCATCAGCACCTACCACAAATTCACTGAATTCTCCTGGTGCTGGTTTCATTGACTCTCGGCGTTTCCGCTCTATCTCCTCGGGAATAGTTTCCGCTATTATCCGTGAGGAGGTCACTTCCACTGATGGAACATGAACAGGAGTCTGGGAAATGGCCATGTCAACGCTTAACGTATCCCGTTTAAAGGAACTTGACTTCCACGTCTGGTTGGCAGCACCAGCTGATGTTGACAGCTCATGTAACGGCTCCATTGATAGAGAGCGTTTCAGTCGGTCCAAAGACATCTGACTTCGTTTTCGGGATAATCTGCGATCTAAAAACACAACAACAATTGTTAAACCCTGCATATGAGCCATGAAGCATTTTCAAAGTCATTTTGTTTCAACTGACACAGTACCCTTTCTCCTTACCCTCCATTTAACCTTACAGTGATCATTTAATCCTTGGCCTCAAATGCACGTATACCACTCAACAGACGTTCCAGAAAAGCTTAGTTTCCCATGACAATAGTTAATCTGTCCTGTTTGTTTGAAATTTCAAAACGCAGCCTTCCAATTTTGGGTGTTCATTAAATTCTTTTGATAAGAATATCAATTTAACAAATTCATTTAACCGGGTAATATTACTCAACCTATTTTTTTTCTCTGATTTGTATTCATATGACTAGTTTGACATGAAATCTAAAGCATAGATCATTTATCACAACCAAAAGGTTTGGTTTAATATACAGATTTGGGGCATATATAGTGGAGATGAGATTATATCAGGGAAACATCGATTATTATGGGTCTTCAAGGGAGCATGCATTAGATATATCGGTATACAATTTTCATTCTCAACGCTTTCACAATAATGAGGGATGTTGCATGACAGCTTCATAAAATATCAAACTTTATGAGCTGGTTTAGGGTTAATTATTCTGAACCACAAATTCAAGCTTCCCATGGATTTGAACTGGCTCATCATTTTCATCATTTGTTTACATGGCAATTGCAGTTTTTGCAATAAACCTACAAGAGTTTTCCCCCTTTAATAAAAAGAAAATGTCATGGCTTTGTTTCTCTGCTTGATGTGTTCATTGATTAACAAGACTTTTTATACATTGCCTTTTGGACAATATGTAGATTTTGTTTTCTCTCTATTACCATATTTTCTATGAACCAAAATAATGGCCAAAACACCTATCTTAATCAGTACTTGTAGTTTTCTCAGCCAACTCAAGGAAACATGGGTAAAATATCTACACTAAGCTCAAGTAGGCTTACAAGACTTATCTCCCTTGATCTATTGAAGCAGGACAAAATAACTGTTTACAGTAAGGATGTATAAATTAGGTTTATATCATTTTGGTGTTGTTATTTTGTGTTGAGTAAAATAACGTGAAAATAACAATAAAGAAGGCAAGTTAGTAGGGGATACTGGGTGTAATCTAACTGAATGGGAGGCAATGATTGAAAGGGAGGTCAACTGGACTACCCAAAACCTCCAGTTGTTTTGAGTAGTATTGTATGGATTTGGAAGACTGGATGGTGGGATGAACACTGTAGGGAAAAATGGAATGCAGGGGTTGGTTTATTAGTTATGAATGAACACATGGGGTTAATGAGAATAATTTGCATCAATGTTATCGAGAAGAATGATTCATGAATAGTGATAACGAAAACAGTGAGCCATTACGATATCCACATCATGCCAAAGTTATTGTTTGGCTAACATCATTGATTTATACTGGATCATTTGATCACATTGTTAAACAATGAAATTGCTGCTTAATTAAAACAAAGTAAGAAATATAACCATTGAATTCTCGTTATTGAAAAATTGTTTGAACAAATTTAGAAACTTCAATAAAATTTCTAAAACATTTTTGATCCAGTATGACAATGAATTCAATGCCATAGAAGTGCAAGAATATACCCCGATGAAACCGACGATGAGCTTACACACGAGCATTAACCCAATATGCGCACACGCAATCAGGGGCGGGCTGACGAAACACCAGACAGGCAGATTCTAACCTGAGGAGATGCAAAGCAGGCAACTGACTGGCCAACTGACGGACTGATGGATTGACGGACAGGTTGCAGGCAGCACAGACTGCAGGCGACATAGACGCACACTGAGGAGACTGGAGGAGGAGGACGAGAGGGATAGCCAACCAATGTCCATGTGACTGCAGCTGAGAAAGAGTGCTCGGAACAGGCGTGTCTTGTGAGTAAACGTGCAGCTGAATCTTGTACTGTGGCAGGCAACTAGGCATTCTTCACCCTCGGCATTCAAAGCAGCTTTTACGATTATCATTCTTTTTGTATATTTAAAAAAATATCTGTTCCCTCTAAGTAAGGACAAAATAAAAAATCATGATTACAATATCAGTGAGAGTACAGAGGGTATGCAGTTACATAGTTTCCAGAAAGAGATTTTACAATAAAAAAATTAGCCGAGGGTGAATTAGTCTAAAAGAGCAACAAAATATAAATGCTTCCCAAAAAAGAAACAAAAGTTATGAATCTAAAATGAATAGATTTATGAGTGAGTAAAAATTCTTCAATCTGAGGCATAATTCATATGGTTAATTAAATGCATTATAAAAACATTAAATACAATATCACACAATGAAATAGTCATAAAAACAATGCCTCAGTTTGAAACCATGAAAATGTGATAACTAGATGTGACTGAAGTAGTAAGAAGATTGTGACCAATGAAAAAACAGTAGCTACAAACAAAACATCAAACAAACTGACACAACAAAACCAATATTCAAAATATGAAATTCGGTTCGGTACAAATGTCCATAGTTATCTCCCTTTATAACATAGCCCTCCCAGCACTGATTGGAAGCACTGAAAGATATAAGGCTTTTATAATTAACCTATCATAAGTCGATTAAAATTCCAAGTTTACAGATAGGCCAGTCACAAAATAGTTGGATGTGGAGAAGTTGTCATATTTTCACAATATGATTAATTCACTCTTCCAACATAACTCAGAAAATACAATTTGTCAAGCCATAAATATATCAACAGTCTTCAACCTGAGATGCTATGTTAGCAAGGGCTATCGGACAAATAAGCTGGCTTGAGTCATTAGGCCACACCATTATTTTTCACTTGCTTTACGGATCTGTTGAAATGGAGAAAATTTCTGAATATGTCCCGTTTTCATCCCGACAATAAGCAGATAGCAAACTGCAACAAAAAAAATTCTACCTATGAACTCACGATCAAATTTTTGCATAAGTGTAACCACGTAGATATGTTCATGTAAAATAATCTGTAAGTCAAGTAAACAAGAGTGTGGCCTCACAAATAAATAAACATTTGTTTTATCAACAAGTGGACAGGTTACCAATGTGTTAATGTTCCTGTACAAGTCCGAATGAGCAGATACAAAACACGAGCTGGTTCTAAAAGCCAGGAGCAACCCAGGACTACTTCCATCAATGTACAAGTTCCACAAACCACTATTGAATAGTGTTCCTAATTATTCAGGTGAGAAATAGTTAATATGATTGTATATTAGGAAGATCAGTTCTTGGTTTGATTGTGCGGTTGGTTGAAAGTTCAAATGCAGGTCATACCCTCAGGCTATGTAATAGTTTACAAGCAAATATCAAAACTATCACATAACTCTCACAGTCTGTACATACATTGTAAATACATGTTGTTATTTAGTACCAGTGTGTTAGATACTATCACAACACTCAGTACACATGTACTCTTGTTGCATCCAATATGGATTTCATTGGAGGGAAGGTAAAAATGATTTTTGTGAATGATAATTTATTCTTTATGATATCTGAATGATATATCTTACATATAAAAATCTACATTCATCCTTCAAGAAGCATTTATAATTTTGACAAGCCACAAAATGTTCTCATTTTTTCATGGAAGGCTAAAAATTCAAATTCACTGTTGATCCACAGTAATTTAAGTAATAAAACAAATTGAGAGTTAAAAGAGATTGTTGTGGGAAAAATTGGAGCAAATTCTTAAATATCTTTACTTAGTATTTGGAGAGTTCTGTAAATAATATTTTTCACTTGAGATTTTGGGAGAATTCTTTCTTTTTTCTAAAACATTACTAGAAGTCTAAGAAATATATATCCATTTGTCTCTAATAGGTTTGTTTTACAGTCTTAGGGAGTAGGGTTTGGTAGAACCAATGTCCCTCTTTGTCAAGCCAGCTTCCAAATACATGTCATTGACAAGAAAATACAACATTCAAAATTGAATGCATACAAATACAATGGTTGTTAAGTATTAACAAGTCATACAATAAAACATCACATTCATTCGAAGTCACATTTCTTTGGAAAATTTCATTCTGTTTTCAAACTCTGGAATAAAAGCAATGTTATAATATAAATATTCATCACAGCTTGAACTATGTTAGTTGTATGTGTCCTAATGATCTACATTTACATACTATGAGAATTGTATTGCAAGTAATAGAACATTTGACAAAACAAGACAACGTCAACATTCTGGAAAAGTGGATTGGAGGCACGGTTTGAACTATCAACACCATATTTACATGATTCAACAATAAAATACTGCCATCTAACACCTTCACTTTTAACAACAGGATTTTCATCTCCCTCTCAAAAACACAATATAAAACAAAATTATATCAAATTACAACAGCTAAAATTCTATGATGCTAAGAAACAGACATATCTGAAGAATTGCACAGTTTCATTAAGAGCATCTCCTAATACAGGCTTCTTGTAAAAGAATCTTTTGAAATCAAATATTTCCCAAGAGTCAATGGTTGTAATCAAGCCTCAATTGTATTCATGTGAGGGAGATCACAATCAACAAGGAAGAACAGAACAGTCGACAAAAAATTCTGGCCATGCTGACAATATGTGTCTTGTTCTGGACAAAGGTCTGTTAGTAAATGCATGGAAGCAATATATTGAAAGGAAGAACAGAAATTGGAAGAATGAAACAGTACAAAAGCAGATAGTCAGAAGGCGATCAACACCTTGAAACCATACATAGAACCAATGACTTATGCAAATTCACAGACAGTCATGGAATAAACAAAGTCAAAGTCACTGACACAAAAATAACATAGAAAGGAAATCTAAACTAAAGAGCCCATTTGACCATTTATTTGAAAGAGCATTAGTTTTTCTTTCAGAATTAATGCCACAATATTTCATTTGTTGAATTCAATTTATAACTAATCGCCAAGCACTTAAAAAATGCTTGAAAGGAAGAATTAGTCATGATCTTCACTCTTCCTGGCATCAACATTAAGGCTGCCAACCAGAGACTTCCAGTATCTCATCTTCTTACTTGTGGGCTTGGGTTGGTTGGGATTTGGTGTCTTCATCCCGTTGCTGCGCGCAGAATCTCTAGCAGCTCAAAGCGGAAGGAGGATATGTCTTGTTTGAGCTCATTGACATCATCCTCTGTGACTCCTTCGCCTCTCTGTGGCCCACGCTGTTTTTTGCATGATGTACCGCTTGATGAGGTCCCGCATCACAGCCTGGTGAGGACACCAAATATGCAAGATGTTTACACCATGTTTGGGATTGCAGCGAAGTATTGAGCCTGGAGCTTTGACTCGATACCAGCACTCAGATTACTAAGGTAAATATCACTGAAGGGATATGTTTTGAATGTATATCAATTAAAATTTAATGACTCATATATTATTTGCAAAACTCTTTGTGTAAAGATAAATGTCAGAGTCCATCGTTTTTGATTTCCAAAATAAATGTGAACAGTAGTACTTCATCTAAAAATTTTACCAAACTTCTGTGGCTATTTCAATGGAATCTATAATTGGTGATCAAAATGTCCCTCTATTTTAGAAGTCAGTACTGAGGGTTTTCTGTTTGTAAAATTGATACTGAATGCACCAAACATAAACATAAGATAATATCTATCTGTTCTCAAAGTAAAGACAGGTACTGATTGCAGTCAACTCTAAAAGTATCAGCAATGATAACACACAACAGGGAGGTTTTATCTTGTCATTCTTATTCCAGTGAGTGAGTTTAGTTTTACGCCGCACTCGGCAATATTCAATAATCGAGTCTGGACCAGACAATCCAGTGATCAACAGCATGAGCATCGATCTGCACAACTGGGAACCGATGACATGTGTCAGCCAAGTCAGCGAGCCTGACCACCCGATCTCATTAGTAGCCTCTTTCGACAAGCATAGTCGCCTTTTGTGGCCAGCATGGGTTGCTGAAGACTTATTCTACCCCGGATCTTCACGGGTCCATTCTTATTTTAGTTACACAAGGTCCTGGGAAATGGCCAACCCTTTCTATTTCAGATCAGGCCATTTGAAGCAGACTTTGAGAGCCTGCAATTGCACATTTATGAAATATATCAAACATCATTATGCTAATCACATACAATGTCTCATTTTGACACTCATCATTAATAACTGTCTGGACAATGGAGTGTCTCATTAACATGTCAAATGTAAAACCTCAATGCAGGAGAATTATCCATTTCAATTATCCGACAAAACAATTTCATTGGGTATTAAACGCAAAACAGCAGTTGAAAAGTATATGAATGGATCACTGAAAATCTGCAACGACACCTGGTGTTTGCATAAGGTTATGCAGGTCAAGGAGTGTTTCATTTGAGACGAAAAAGCAACGTGATTCAGGTCATCATAAACAGTTGTTTTCCATCATGGTGAACTTACAAGTGTTTGATATTATGGGTCTTTTTTCATTTTCTGATAATTAAGTATCAGATTTTAGCAAGGATTAGTGAGTGATATATATCCACCAAGAGTGAATGAGTTGAGTTTTACACCACACTCAGCAATATTCCAGCTATATGGCCAGGCGCATAGCAAGCCAGGTTTTTTGTGTAAGCCCGATAGGTTGCAAAGTTTCATATTTAGATAATATTGAGGGTTTGCCCAGCCTTTTAAACAACAATCATGTGTAAGCCCGGGCTTTTTGTTAACATGGCAGCCATGCCTCTGATGGCAGCGGTCTGTAAATAATCGGCTCTGAACCAGAAAATCCAGTGATGAACAGCATGAATATCGATCTACGCAATTGGGATATGTCAACCAAGTCAGAGAGCCTGACTACCTGATCCCGTAAGTCGCCTCTTACAGCAAGCATGTGTCCACCAAGTTGTGGTACTGTCTTGAACCAATGGGACACATGTGTTCATGTTAAACTGTAAACCAATGCTTAGTCTCTAAATGTATATATAGTTTTGATGGACTGAAATAATTCCTTTTGAACTGAAAAGGAGTCCCAGTGAGATGGGTGATTCAGAACCTGAGGAAATCTAGACTTGCTTGATTTAGGGTTTTAGCATTGCAGAAGGGGAAGGGTAGAAAGGAAATGCATATATCAGTGTATGAAATAAGGGCAGTTCGACCGCCAAAGTTGGGCTAGATTTCTGATGGATGGTCTAAATCTACAGCTAGCCAGTCCAATGGTCTGGTAAAAAATTTAGATGCTCCATACATCTGAGTAAATTCACAATATCTTGGTGTCTGGTCTGGTTAAATCTATTTCGGGCTGGTAACATTTTGAAGTTTGAAGCTTATTTCATACACTGCATATATATTCAGGGACTGAGACAGATTCGTTACATTGTAATACTCAGCAGCAAGGAAAAATCCATGTTTGTTGAGTTCATTGTTGATCAGCAACATTTCAGCTATATAATGCCCATCTGAACATAATCAGGTCTGGACCAGACAATCCAGTGATTTACATCACAAGCATCAATCCGTGCCATTGAGATGACATGCATCAGCCAAATCAGTTAGCATGAACACCTGATCCCATTCATCACCCTCTACAACCACCATGTGGTGAGACCCAGAGGTGATAGTATTGTTAGTGATGAAACATTCCCACTTTACATGTGTGAGAAACAGACAAACCAATGGAAGATAACAACAGCTGTAAAATTCAAGTAATTGATTTGTAGTAAACAAATCATACATCAAGATGTCGTTATAGAGCAGTCACTTGACTCTGTGTCATTCCGACTGGAAGAGTCTGCAACTAGTTCATAATGTGGGCAGCAATCTGTCTGCTCCAGGATATCTAAAGTTGGCATCGAAGCATATGACATTAACTTACTAACTTAAACTGTATTTATAGAAAAATATCTTTTTTTGTATCCCATGGCTGAAGTTTCTTGTGACTGTGGTTACCTGATATTTTATTTCTCTTTCATTGATCTTCTTTACAATTTTCTGAAAACAGAAGACAGAAACAATAGTTAACTAAAACATACTAATTAATGGATGACTACTTTGTTTCATTGGCATTACAGGAAAAGTATAGGCTCACAATATCACAATTTTGTTTGTTTGTTGGTTAATGCCAGCACCAGCAGTATGACCACGGAATGTAAATCCTCAAGACTAGACCAGTGATTGACATTCTGAGTATTGATGACTACATTCAGGATACAGTGACTTCACACACACACATAGAGAGAGAGAAGAGGAGAGGAAATCATCATCATCATCATCCCAGCCATAAATTATTTACAGTCCCTAAGAAGCATTGCTTGCTGAAGACCAGCTTTAACTCAGACCTTCACAACAAAACAGCTTTGGGATTACTGTTTCCGTGTGTTCTGTTGCTGTAACAATATTCCTCATTAACACTGTGCTCTTAACTATAAGTTATCACATCGCGTCTCCGGGAATACAGGGAATACAACCTTACGAGGGACTGATAAAACCCGTATTTCCCGAGACACGATGTGATAACGCATTTATCTAACCGAATGTTTTTACTAAATCAAAAGAAAACAATACGCATAACGCTTTACTTCAATTTCATTCTTAGTTGTTGTGGCAAAACGTTTCCTTGCTGCCATGTTGACAACAGCTGATCGATTGACCTCAATGCAGCGCACGTTACTAAAGGCTTGGTGTACCTTGTATTTTATCAGAGTCGCATCACGTGAACCAATCAAAATTCGACATTCTTACATGAGGCTGGATAATGTGTTTTGTCAGTATGGAACAATTTTTCTTAAAACATGTTCATGACCAACACAATGCTTATCATTATGTCCTTTAACAACATCTCATGTCAACATTTTGTCAATAATGAACACTGTGCCACAACACTGCCTATAAAGAACATTGTGTCAACATCTTGTTCATCATGAAGATTGTGTCTCAATTGTGTCAATCATTTGCATCCCTTATTAATATGATGTTGTTTCAGCATAATACTCCATCTATTTTGAAAATATTTTACCACTGTGTGTATCATGAAGATGTAACAGTCTCCACTATAAACATTCTCTTGTGACACATACTGTATAGTGACCATGGTTCTATTCTAACACTGTTTCCATGAACAGTGTGTCTATCATACTTTTATGGTCTGACCTGAATACTGTCGGCCATGAACATTGTTATCTCAACATTATCTACCATGAACATTATGCTAACTACAATGTATTTGAATTTGAGTAAAACCACCCACTCACTCAGAAGGGTTCTGACGAATTACAAAATGGATAAAATTGGCCTGAAAACCAAATCACCTAAAAGTGAGTGAGTGAGTTTACGCCACACTCAGCAATATTCCATCTATATGTCGGCAGTCTGTAAATAATCGAGTCTGGACCAGACAATCCAGGGATCAACAGCATGAGCATCGATCTGCACAACTGGGAACCGATGACATGTGTCCACCAAGTCAGTGAGCCTGACCACCCGATCTCGTTAGTCGCCTCTTTCAACAAGCATAGGTTACAGAAGATCAATATTCTAACCCGGCCCTCAGCAATATTCCAGCTACATGGCGGCAGTCTGTAAATAATCGAGTATAGACCAGACAATCCAGGGATCACAGCATGAGCATCGATCTACGCGATTGGGATACGATGACATGTGTCAACCCAGTCAGCGAGCCTAACCACCTGATCCTGTTAGTCGCCTCGTACAACAAGCATGGGTTACTGAAGATCAATTCTTCACAGGTCATGTCTGACATGAACATAGTATTATCTCAACATTGTCTAGAATGAACATTCTGTCTTCACACTAAGTTTAACTTCAATATTCCTACCATGAACAATGTGTCTATCATGAACACAGCGTAATCTCAACATTGTCTATAATGAACATTGTGTATCCACACTAAGTCTGACTTACTCCCATCATGAACAATGTATCTACCATAAACACAGCGTTATCTCAACATTGCCTATAATGAACATTGTGTATCCACACTAAGTCTGACTTCAGTACTCCCATCATGAACATAGTATTATTTCAACATTGTCTATAATGTATCCTGTCTTCACACTAAGTCTGATCCCATCACGAACATAGTATTATTTCAACAGTGTCTATAATGTACACTGTCTTCACACAAAGTCTAACTTCAATATTCCCATCATGAACATTGTGTCTAACATGAACATAGTGTAAAGACAGTGTACATTATAGACAATGTTGAGATATTACTAAATCTGACTTCAATACTCCCATCATGAACAATGTGTCTACCATGAACAATGTGTCTGTCATGAACACTCTGCCTTGAGGTGTATCCACAACACTGACATTGAACTGCTCCTGCTCACCTTGATACTCTGCCATCGGTTTCTCTTCTGCTTCTTGGAGCATGCACACAGTTTATTCTTGAACCAGACGAGAATGTAGTAGAAGGTCTTGGGACTGGGAATGATATTGAAGGGAGCAGGCAATGTGCCACTGTCCTCGAAGTAGCTGATCCACAGCTTGGACCGGGCAAACTTCCACTCCTCATCTGCCTGGCTCTGGAATAGGTGCACATCGTCTTGTGAATACAGGATATCTACTGGGTCTCACTTATTTATTACATCAACACCATGTCAATTCTTTATACATTTATATATGTATGTAGTGTAAGGAGGTACTCCAGTGATGTATCCATAATCTAGAGTTCTCAGCCTTTACATCAGCAATACAGGATTACTTTGATATTTTACAGGTGCTTCAAACAATTTCACATTGTGAACGTTTTCTTCAAATTCTCTTAAGGAATGTTCTGAAGCACCAGTTCCTTCTAACTGAATGGATGGTGTGTGTGTTTTGTGTGTGTTTTTTCTTGTTCTAAAAAAAGGTCAAAATATGTTTTACATGTATATGATGATCGAATTAACATATATATAGAGTTATTGGTTTGATCCAGGCTGGGTAAACATTTCCACAGAGCTGAAGCATCTTCGGTACTCTGAGGATGTTTTACAAGAAAATACATCTTGAAACCAACGGTAAATCATTTACATTCCTGTATATTTAGAAATTAACAAGTGTCATTGAGACTACTTCTTACAGAAATATTGCAACAAACTTGAAAGAACATTAATGTGAGAAATTATTGTGACATAATAAATATTACAGCTGATGCACACATTAGTAAATATTTGCATGTGAAATATGAAAATCATACATGAAGTTAAATGTGTATTTAATAAAAAAGTGTAAAGTATTAATACAATAAACAATTCTATGTCTAAGAGTAAAACAGTGAAAAATCAAGAAAAGCTATGAAGAAATTACTATTGAGAATATCAAAGATAACAGTTATAGCAGCTAAAAATTCAAATGGTACAAATGTCCTTAAAAATTATAGATAAGTATAATTTAATAAAACATGAACAAAATTAACAACTATTTAAAATAACATTTGCAGTAAAAGATGTGCATATATAATGGATGTGTTTACTGGGGATAATATATTGAGACAATCTACAGGTGCTGTTACAAATAATTAGAAACCAATAAAATGAATTACAAGCAGAAGTTAATATTATTTACAATTCAGATATATTTTTTAGAAAATAAAGACATGATAATCAATGAATTAGAAATGGAGTAAGTATATTGAGCTTCTTCAGATATCAAAGATACATGTATTTGAATCCAACATGAGACAGTCACTTTGAACAGTTTTTACTTGCAGAGAGATCTAATGACAAAGCAGAGGACTGCCTATAATAGAGAGAAAGTAGGTTGCCCATCCACCTATAGTGCATGTTACCACCCATACAAGTGTTTCACAGTTCATAAGATGGAACAGATGCATGACTAACAAGTAGCGAAATTAGAAATTCCTTTCACATTTGCTGTGAATTGATAAGGTTGAATTCTGCTGAAATGAACAGCCGCCAACACTATATCAAGCTTTGACTTTGAAGTCATCAAAATTGCATTCATGATTCAATTTATCAGAAACTAGCATGCCAATATTAAATACTCGGTTGGTGTCTTTTATGTGAATTTTATCACATTTTGGTGTGCAGGCATTACAAGCTGATTCCAAAATTCTCTCTATGTTCAAATGCCATGGCAACACATGATAATGATTTTAAATATGACTCTTATGGACTGTGAAACAGTGATTGACAATCTATCTGGAGAAGGGACAGCTTCTATTAAAAGGTCAAAGGTCACTTGCTCTGGCAGTTGTGAATATATATATTTGGGGATGTGTAAGTGTTCCTCGTCCACCAAGAGTGCATGACATACTGACTGCATGCATGCATACATACAAGTGTATGTACCACCAAATTATACCAGTGCTGATTATAAGTTGATTTTGATCATATTCAGATAATCATCATATTTCAATATGAACACTTTAGATCCTTTACTGTAATATATATATATTGAGAGAGATATATCAACATGAGTCAATACAATTTTAAATTCTAAGGCTTGCTGATGAATTTAAAACTTCTATTGACTTGTGTTGATATATCTAATGTAAAAAGACACAGTGTGACTCAATTTATCATCCAAAATAATTTTTCACAAGTTTTCAGTTTAACAATAAGCACCATTGTCTTTAAGAAAAAAAGGCAGAGTTAACCAACTTCAATGGCAAACAATAACTATGTCATTTGATTTTGAAGTCAAAGTAACAGGTGATGTCACAATGATCTGCAGAGCATTGTGTCACAATTTCATTGTAGTCATGTCTTCCAGGAGAGGTTGCATGATCTCACAGGGAAGCCAATTTTGGATGACAAATATATTTAACATACCTCAGTCTTTCCCGCCAAACCAATTCAATCCCATCTTTTTTACATCTTTTGGAAAACATATTCAAAGTAAAACGACAAAATGAACTTCACTGTTTAAGAAATTAAAGTTTGAACATTATCCTTTGAGATTTATGTTTTAGCCAGAAAACTTCAACAAAAAGACAAAATTCAGTCTGGATTGAAAGACAAGTGTGCATGTGGGATATGTGTGAATACACAGGATGCGACCTACAAGAGTTGACCTGCCAGTGACCTTGACCTCTCTCAGTTACTCACATATATAATCTGGTAAGAGTTGCTCATCATAGCAATGAGCATGTTGAGAAGGACTACCAGAGCAATCCAACTATACACCCCAAACATCAGTTTCCCAACCAGCTCAGTATACTCATGATTGAACTTCGGCCGAAGTTCAGCATGATCAAGATCCACCAAACCAAATACGGACCAGTACAATGTCTGCAGTATCTCAAATAGACTGGAAAAAAGACAAGGACGTAAAATAAGAATTGGTCAAAGTTCTGGGGCAGCTGGAGAAGGTGCTGGTGCTCGTTCAGCAGGATAAGCAGAACAGGTTGCAGAACTTTGACACTGGTAATTTTGCCTATCCAAGTCTCAATCTTGTTGTTATTGGAGCTGTAGTTCAGTAAAAAGGTGGATCGAAATATGACAAAGATTGTGCACGAATTAATTGTAATTAATTTCAAATAAATTTGTGATTTTCAATTTATTTCCCTCATTATGTTAGATGTGCTTTTTTATATAACATTTTATCAGTTAACCTCCTGTCAATCTGCCGTAATATTATATCATCACAATATTGAAATGGGATCTACTAAATATCAGCAAAATGATGATGAATGGGCCTCACAAACTGTATCTATGTAGGAAATCAAACCATAACTTGGTTACCCAATAAAGTTGCGACCTGTCACATATTCTTTGGTGTATATGAATTTCAGATTGGTTTTTGAAAATAACAGTCCTTTGGACAAGTAATTATAACATTGTGGCCAACCAATCAAATTTAATTTGTTCTAAAATTAAAGTGCAAAAGAATTTTCTCAAAAGTAGTATCAATACAGACTACAATTATTGGATATTTAATTGTCGTCAGCAAAATAAACCCTCGGACAAGCATGAGTTTTGAGAGTAATGTAAGTATTTAATCCATGTCTTTTTCTAAGATCATTATTTGATACAATTTGGTTTTTTTATGCTTTCGAAAGGATTTTGAGGATTTAGAGAACATAAACTGCCTCCAGACAACACCATGAAGGAATTAAAAGGATCATCAGCCAATGTCCCTGTTAGAGACAGCCTGAGCAGCTCAGCTAGACAGCCTTAATCTGATCTGAAAGGAGACTAATATCCATGACATATGTCGGAATCCAGTAATCTTGGCATCATCATCACTCATTGCACTAACTGGCTCCAAGGATTATGTATGAAGACAGATGGTTCTACAAGGCTTATGGAAACATGAACTCTGGTATTTGACTAATCAGGAAAAACATATACTTGAAAATGCAAACTTCCTCTCAAAATTTACATTTCTAATCAATATGAAAAAGTAAGTAAATTAGAAAAGTTTGAATAAATGTATATTTCATTTCAGTTTCATACATATTTGGGTAGATATTTTTCATCAAGCCTATTGAATAATTTTTACCTTAACACTGGGAATTCAGGAAAAGTTTTTAAAATATTGTTCTTATGTATATTATTGAAAAGCTTTAATATGTTGTATATGTTCATTAAAGATAAAATGAAATAATGATAAGGTTTGCTGAATTGAAAATAATTAAAACTCTGGCATACTGAGGTTCTAATTCATGTATTATCTGCAATGCAGCAAGAATTCTGCTGTTAATAAATTCTGCAACATTAAAGATCTGCCATACAAAATCTCCAGATATGCAATACTAAGGTTCTGCTATACAGAAGTTCTGCAATGCTAAGGAACCACTACACCAAGTATTCTCATCTGGAACACTTAAGTTGTGTTATACCAAGGTTCTGCTATCTCCAGATTCTGCTCATCCTTGAGAACAAGACCCAGCAGCATCAACAGGTGCCCCTACCCAGAACTGCAGTCACAGGTACTCACATAGATCATCTGATACGAGTTGCTCATCATAGCGATCAGCATATTCAGAAGCACAATGAAGGCAATCCAGCTATACGTCCCAAATGTCAGTTTGCCCACAAATTCTGTAAACTGATGGTTAAACTTGGGCTGGAGCTCTGCATGCTCCAGATCCACTAGGCCATACACCGACCAGTACAAAGTCTGTAGTATGTCAAATAAACTGCAAATACCCCAAGACAAGAGTTACATCAGCAATATCACACAGCTCACACAGCAAATAAGCCTGAAAAGTAGAGTAGTTACAAAGCAAAATACATTTTTATCATTTGACAAGACCAATGTTTTTGTTTTGTGTAACAAGTAGTACTCAAAAATAATTTAAGGACCACCCAATTCTTTCATATTGCTACAGTTAACCTGTCATGACATATTAACTATATTTACATGAAAGAACCAAGTGGTCCTTATACTGCTAAAAAAAAAAGTTATTTTCTAGGCCAGTTAGCCAGAAAAACTGATTAGATAACTACAGATACAAATAATTCAAATTTATATAGATCCAAATACATTCTTTGTCTATTTTTACAGACTTAGAGAGTGAGTTTAGTTTTACGCCGCTTTTAGCAATATTCCAGCAATATCACGCGGGGGACACCAGAAATGGGCTTCACACATTGTACCCCATGTGGGGAATCGAACCCGGGTCTTCGGCGTGACGAGCGAACGCCGTTTACAGACTTAGAGTCAGTCAGTTTAGTATGGTTGTTTGAATGTTTGTTAATTTGCTGTTTAACACAGCACTAGCAATATGACTGTGGTCTGTAACATAGTCTTGTGTTTTAGAGCTGTTGCATTTGTATCATTGATATTGAGAATGTCAGGGTTGTGTCTCTATACAAAATATCCTGATTTCAGCCAAATAAAGTTGTTTTTGCTGTTAAAGCTGTCACTGATACCAATGACACAAGGAGTGTGGATTCATGTCAAAGTGAGCTAATAAGAATACATTTTTGAAATTATCAATTCTAAGTCCAGCAATTAAATTTGATCTCAAATAATTTTTTAAATATTCAGCTGTGTTTCTTTAACCAAAATACAATGTTTGTTTTCAGTCCATCCACATGGTGTGTGTGTGAGTTTAGTTTTACGCCGCACTCAGCAATATTCCAGCTATAAGGCGTGGGTCTGTAAATAATCAAGTCTGGACCAGATAATCCAGTGATCAACAGCATGAGCATAGATATACGCATTGCACGGGTTACTGAAGATCAATTCTAACCCGGATCTTCATGGGTCCTATCCATATGGATAGAGATTAGTCTGGTCTTTTCACAATATTAATCAACGTCCAAGAGTAGTTTGGATTAGAACTTTGACGAAGATGACAAAACTTACTTTGCAAAACTGCGGAATTTTCTATCACAGGATGTGCTGTTACTGTCTGCAGCACACTCGTCAGCATGAACAGTTGCATAGTACCAGTATAGATGGTTCAGTCCACACGCAAAGGAAAACAACACGAGAAAATATACACATCCAAACTTCATAATATCCATGATCATTCGCCCTAGGGATATCTGTAAGGGCCCCAAATGAGGATTGACTGTGAATATATATATGAGTTTTAAGGAACTGAAGATATTAGCTGCAGCAAAAAGAGCTTCTGCTATGAGATTGGGATCGTAGGCATCCCAAGCTTTACGTTGTTTTTGGGCTGCCGGGTCATTGTTCTTCCTTTCCTCCTGAACCTGAAATAGAAGCCGTGGAATGAATGAATGAAACATCACATTCAAGATTATTGCTCCGTTTAGCATTGCACTCAGACGTAGATGAGTGGTTTAATGTACTGGTACCGACTAAAGCTAATTATATCGTGCCTACAAAAAATATATATATAAAAAATATATCGTGTTAAACCCTGGAGATACCCACATCAAAGTTTGACATGCTCACTCACATTTCACTGACTCAGAACCAGTCAGTCCTAAAATGTTTAATTCCTTTGAAACCAAGCACAACACAAGGTAACAAATACTAACTTTTGAGATATTTTGGTATGACGCAACCAGAGATTGAACATGACTCTCTGGTCTCTGGGCAAACACTCTATCCACAAGACCACCAGTATGGGATGATTGAATGGGAAAATGTACTTGAGTCATTAACATGTGTCCTATAAGGTGTAAGGTAAAATGTCAATATTTGAATGACAACTCATCAAATATTTTTGAGTGTACAGAAATAAAAAATAAAAATTATCTGACCAAATTAAAGTGTAAAAGGAAATTTTTTTAAATTACAACTGCTTATCTAGCTTTGGAGGAATGACATTTACTGACTTCAATAAAGGATCAAACTGGAGAGCTTACTACAATTCCAAAACATCTAAATATCTTTATGAATGCCATCAACTAAATATGTTTAATCACAATTTCTGTTCATAACAAATTGTACAAGACACAGGTTGTCTTTTCTCAACAAAACAAAATCGACACCATACAAGTAGAAGTATTTGGTGGTTTTATGTTTTAAACATCAACTGCATCTGTTATCTGAAAACAATTATTTTAGCTTTCGAGAAATAAAAAGCCCTAAACTAACAAATGACAATTTTACATGTCAAACAGTTTTTGTCGTGAAAGTCAAACTCGGACAGTACAAACTTACAGCATGCCATTACGATTCTGGTCACCTGACAGGATATTGATTATTTGGAAGTCGCGGCGATCAGTCAGCTTTACAGCAATTCTTGGTGGTGATGATTTATATTCCTCACGCATATCTCCCATATCGCTTACAGGAAGTGAGCCTCATCACAAGCGTTTCAGTTGGACAAGTGATCACATGACATGCTAATGGTACAAAGCCTTTGATTTGCCAGAAAAAAATAACAGCTCAACACATGCAAAAGAAATATATCACGTTTTGTGCAACTTAATAGATTCTAGGACATCATGGAGGATGCTTAGAACATGTATCCTCCAGAAAGACAAATTCTCCAGGCCATACTCAATCATTTATTAGATACTCATGTGGACGATTTTGTTTTACTTTTTATACAAATTTTCATGGCATCTCTATTTTGCAGAGGTGGTGGGGTAACCTAGTGGTTAAAGCGTTCGCTTGGCATGCTGAAGACCCAGGTTCGATTCCCCACATGAGTACAATGTGTGAAGCCCATTTCTAGTGTCCTCTGCTGTGATATTGCTGGAATATTGCTAAAAACAGCAAAAAACCAAATTCACTCTATTTTGCAGTAGAGAGATGGATGTAATTCACATGAGGGAGTGAGGATTGTTGTTCTCTGCTTTTATCATGGCAGGGGACACCAGAAATGGGCTTCACATATTGTACCCATGTGAGGGATTGAATCCGGGTCTTTGGCGTGATGAGCGAACACTTTAACCACTAGGCTACCCCACTGCCCTTAATTCACACGAGTGAATGAGTGAGTTGGGTTTTACGCCACTTTTAGCAATATTCCAGCAATATCATGGTGGGAACACAAAAAATGGGCTTCACACATTGTACCAACGTGGGGATCGAACCTGGGTCTTTGGTTAATGCTTTAACCACTAGGCTACCCCACTGCCCTTAATTCACACCACACGAGTGAGTGAGTTGGGTTTTACACCACTTTTAGCAATATTCCAGCAATATCATGGTGGAAACACCAAAAATGGGCTTCATACATTGTTACCATGAGGGGAATCAAACCCAGGTCTTCGGTTATTTCTTCAACCATTAAGCTACCCCACTGCCCCTAATTCACACAAGGCATAGAGACTACATTGTGTTTCACTTGGTCAGTAGGAACAGAAGCTGATGTGTCTGTTTGTCGTTTATCGCTGCATTCAGCAATATTCCAACTATGAGAGATGGGAAGGGATGAAAATATATAGAACAACTAGGTAAGACCTTACTTAAAATTGGATGTGTTGAATATATTCATTCTCAGTGGGCATTAAACAAAAACAACACAAATTTCTCTGTTTTCTCTAAGTTTGTTTCTTTTTAACTACTTTGTGAGTTTTTCAATAATGACCTCTCATTGTTTATTGGAGCTTTAGGGTAGGTGGGGTAGCCTAATGATTAAAGCGTTGGCTCGTCATGCCGAAGACCCGGGTTCGAATCCCCACATGGGCACAATGTGTGAAGCCCATTTCTGGTGTCCCCCGCCGTGCTGTTGCTGGAATATTGCTAAAAGCAGCGTAAAACCAAACTCAGTCAGTCAGTCAGTATTGGACTGACTAAAACTATTGAACTTTTGCCCCTTTGATTCTATGTCAGGATAGGCCTCCAATATTCATGTGTGACAAACTGAAAATCTTTTTAGCAATTCAGTCTTATTTTAAGCCATGAATATTCAATTATCGCTTGCTAATTGTGATATCTTGATTACTGTATCTTCCAAACACAAGTTAGAGTGCCATGTAATATCTATTCATCATTCTGAGGAATGGTGCTAACCGAAATTTAGTTTTTCCAGCATTTGTCATTTCTTTCTAGGCCTCTTGGGGACAGTCACACACTTCAGCCAAGCTAATCATTGCACTGATCTCCTGGAGCAAGAAGGACATCCACTTGTGAATACCTGATGTTGTCATTGCTTCTCAAGTGGGATGATATTTCAGGGGATTATCTTGTTTTTCTTTGAATCAACCCATTCCACATGTTGTGATGTAGATGTATCTATATATCTGTGACTGACACACTCACCTGTAAGTACGCCAGGAGTCTGAGTGTAAATGTTGCTATGTACAAAGAGTTGGTGACAAAGTCCAGAATATTCCACATATCATGAACATATTCCTTGGCGCCATCGTCCCATAGTTGTTTGATCTCAGCCCACATCAAACCTGTAGAAGTAGTTTCACAATGGTCAGAGTCCAAGATAAAACCGTGATGAAAAACATAGAATAACACAATGTCAGATAAGGGCCTCATTGGTTTTCTGTTGAAAGGAATGCTTGGTTGACCAATCAAATGCTGCAGAAGCTGATTTAGTTAGTAGATAAAAAACATTAACTGCTTTTTTAGGGAAAATGAAAGGAAAACTTTGTATTTCAAAACTGCATTGTAAAAGCAAACATACAAATGCATGAGAATGTGTAAAGAAGATTAGTTCAACAACTCTGGGGGTAGAGCCCTTTTTGCACTTGCAGCTCTCTGGACAAATTCACCATGCTCTCAAAAGGTTATTCATATTAAAAAATCACCTACCAGCAACATAGGCTAAGATCATCCACTCAATGGTCGTCGCAGGTGCCCCGAGGAGTTCCCGCTTCACTTTGTCGTCATGGTTACCGCTGTCATTTTCAGAGAGTATCTCTACCCGTTGAGACACGAGGATCAACAGAACTGAAAAACAAATGACAGCAGAGTGAGTGAGAAAGTAGGTAGGTAAATAAGAGGTGGGTGAAGATGAACAGAAGTGAAAAAAACATGAGCGCAAGTTGATTTTGTATATTTGCAATAGCATCTCTGACTATATGTAACTATATGAAATACAAAATTGAACAAGGTCAATCCACAAGTAAGTAGTTAATAGTGTCTGAGATTAAGTCTTTGACAAAGATTTCAATTCTGATTTCACTCTCAGCAGTCATTGTGGACATGCAGACCCTACTTGGTCCAGTGAGTGAGGAATTATGCCACTTCTTGTAATAATCCAGCAATATTATAACAAACAGCATGGGCATGAAAAATTATACTGAAGTATGAAATCACCCGTATCCTTTGGCATTATCATGTTTTATTTCCAACATGAAAAGTTATTCTTTAAAGTGCTGTAAGTGGATGAAAGTTGACTTGCAAGGAAGTTCATTTTCCCTCTTGATAAATGGTAAGTAAGTGAACAATATTTTAATGTCAGCAGTATATCACTGGCCAGTACACATTTTATTCAAACACTGAGAGCAAAAGCAATGTTTTTTAAAAATCTTTGGCTTGTGGGCAAGCATTTCTGATGAGATGCTGCCAGCTTTAGTTTTATCATTGTAAAACAGACAGGTAGTGAGTGAGTAAGGTTTTACGCTGCTAGCAATATTCCAGCAACATCACGGCAGGGGACACCAGAAATGGACTTCACACATTGTACCCATGTGGGGATTCGAACCCGGGTCTTCGGTGTGATGAGTGAACGCTTTAACCACTAGGCTACCCCACCACCCCAAAACAGAAAGGTAATACAACCTTGGACACTATAGGTTATTGAAAAAGTTTGTCAGTTCAATTAATTCAGGAATTATTAAATGTGTAAGACAGAATAAAAACCTACTGTACTATAAAATTCTAGGTCAAACTGTAGATTTGATACCTCTTAATCAAATTTGGAACGGAATGCTTTAAACATCCATTAATATTCTCTCGCATGCGATTCTGATGTGGTATTGACAGCCATTGTTAAATGTAGGCTATCAGTAGATCAATTTAGTCATAACCATTTTTGTATGAAAAGCCTTGGTCATTTATACATATCAAATATTTGACCAATCAGAATGAAGTTTTCTTCAATGTCATCGTGGAACATTAAATACTATGAATCCATTTGGAATGAGATCCAAATACCAACAAATAATGCAAAATCACTGACAAATGTATCGGTTTTCAATTAATCTGGTCATAAAAAGTTCTACACCCTCAGCCAGTGTCAGCATGTCTAATGATCCATGCAACATGGATGGTATTGATGACCATTATGTTCAACAATATTTCCACAATACAAGCGAGGCATGTATCGTATTATCAGCTCCTTCATATCAAAATCAACCAGAGCAAGTAATACAGGCTTGGTAAGATCCATTAATCATGCAATACGGAATCAGCAATGTAAACACTTCATGAAAATAATATCAAAGAGCTATGGAACGAGCCAATCAATGGGTTACGGCACTAGCTGTGGGACTTGCGTTAACATGCCGCATTGATTGGAACCATTTCATCAGCAGTGGTGACCCAAGTTCACATTATGCCTTGGGTCAGGTAATCCTGCTTATACAATGTCCCTAGATTGATTTTTCTGCTGATGCAGCTATTGTTGTACTGGGAAAACAATCTATATTGGTGGACAACGTGCCGTTAGTCGGAGAACAATAGTTCTATGTCTTGCTGGACATCATAGAACATGGTACACGCATGAAAAACACTGATTAAATGTAAATATGGCAGTATAAATGTCCCCCTTGTAAATGTATTCCCGCAATCGATATAACAAAAATATTGATCCTGTTGAACAGGTGAGATGGAGAAGAATATACTCTGAAATGTTGTTTCTCATGTAACAGAAGTTGACATCCATATCAATTTTTCCACCTTTAAGATATTCCATGATCAACAAATTTCCATGATGAAAAAAGGGTTTTCCTGAATCCAATGGCCCCCCAGTTTCCCCACTCCCACACAACAATATTACATAATGGGTTCCAATTTCCCTTGGTTGAATTGTCCTCAGATCTTAATTTCCTAGGAAATTGACTAGCTCTTTCAAATTAGATGAAAGAAGAAAGTTGCTTCTCTACTCTAGCAAGGATTATTTTCTTGTCGAATTTCAAAGGAAAATCTTCTTTGGACATTCCATAGGGAGGGTCTACAAAAATACTTCAATATTGTATGGCATCTCATCCGGCATTCCAGATTGTGGGGTAGCCGAATGGTTAAAGCATTTGCTCATCATGTCAAGAACCAAGGTTCCATTCCCAATTTCTGGTGTCCCCTGATGTGATATTGCTGGACTATTGCATACAAAGGTGTAAAAACCAATCTCACTCTCACTCACTCACTCACTCATCCAGCCATCTTGAATACACATAACTTCATCAACCATCATCATGTTCAGGCTGGCATTCCACAAATTCAGGCATAACTTGTAACATCTCAATGATTTGATTATGGTGGTCAGCTTTATTTACCTCTTGAGACAGGTGTACCAGAATGCTGACTAATATTACTGTATCAAATTCATTCTATAGCACTCTCTTTCCTTTGTGTTGTTTGCCCTTCTCTAATTCCATATGACAATATCCAGTTTCCAACATCTTTTCATTCAGTCATTTGGAAGTAGTGATTATTTCTATTGGTATAACCCATTATGATCTATTTGTGAGTGAGTGAGTGAGTGAGTTGGGTTTTACGCTGCTTTTAGCAATATTCCAGCAATATCACAGCGGGGGACACCATAAATGGGCTTCACACCTTTTTGTGGGGATTCGAACCCGGGTCGTCAGCTCGATGAGCCGACGCTTTAACCACTAGGCTACCCCACCGCCCCGATCTATTAGTGAAATATGTTGGATATAATAATGATAGAGACCTGTACATATGTTCTGATGGGAGAGGAATATATTTCCTTCCCTCAGTCATTTTCAACAAATGAATTTTTATCTCCCCTGTATATTATTTATTCCTTAGACTAATGCATCACTCACATGAGTACTGACACTTGTCTTAAAAAAGTTGACTTTGTGTTGCTCTATGCCTAAGACTGGCAAGAGATGGGATCTATCTAATTGTTTATTGATATACTGACCATAAACACATAAAATGTGGAAAAATGTCTTTTTATCGTGAGTTTCTCTGCAAACATATTAAACATGACACTATTCAGATAATATGTTTTGAAATATATGTTATTTTCAAAATGATGTGAGGACATGTTATCAAAGATAAATACACATTAAACATAATTCAAATGTAAAAAAATACATTCATGAAATAAGATTATAATGGTGTCTTATTAACAATAATTTACACATTCGTAATAACTGCTTTCCATTCCCTCTATAAGCTTTCATAAAAATACATTGTTTTTATATCACTGAAGAAAGGGTATGTTAGTAAACACATTTTTGTTGTATAATATACAGATGCACAAACAAAAGTATTTGTCTTCGAAATAATTTAATGGATGAAAAAATGATGACGAAAAATCATTCATATACCCAAACAGTCTGCTCTATAGATAAAGCTAGCAGTTGAAGGACAGTGCCGAACTGAAAACATGAGGGGCTTGTAATACTCAAATTTTGTTTGTTTGTTTTTTGTTTAAAGCAACGAACCTGGAATTTTCATGCTATATGGTGTGGGCCTGCAAATAATCAAGTCTGCACCAGACAATCCAGTGATCAACGTCATGAACATTCATCTACACAATTCGGGATACGATGACATGTGTCAACCAAGACACCAAACATGATCACTTGATCCCATTAGCTTACTCTTATGAAAAGCATGGGTTGCTGAAAACCATTACTTACCTGGATTTTCATGGGTCAGACTCAAATAGTGATAAGAGGTACACACTTCTCATTCACAAAAAAACTGTGAAGATCCGGGTTAGACTACTGATCTTCAGTAACCCATGCTTGTCGTAAGAGGCGACTAACGGGATCAGGTGGTCAGGCTCGCTGGCTTGGTTGACACATGTCGTCAGTTCCCAATTGCGCAGATCGATGCTCATGTTGTTGATCACTGGATTGTCTGGTTCAGACTCGATTATTTACAGACCGGGGCCATATAGCTGGAATAATGCTGAGTGCGGCGTAAAACTCAACTCACTCACTCACTCATTCACAAAATGTGAAATCAGTGAGTTGAGTTAAACATTGCTTGGACAACACCATTGGGTTTTCTTTAAATTAAATCCTTAACTCCAGTTGTTTATTTAATTTTTTTTGTGTCAGTTACAAACAAAAAATAATGTTAAAAACAATACCCAAATTAACAAAGAATCAAATTATCACTGTTTACATCCTGTTCAATAAATCATTATAACGCACAGTCAGTTTAATACCCACAGACCTATGATAACAGAAGTAAATGCAGAACAGACAGACTTCATTGTCTCCCTCTGTCCTGATAGCCACAAAGATTCCTCATCATGTTAATGGTTGGCATCTGTTGGAGCCTGTTGGAGCCTGTTGGCCGTGGCATCTGTTTTACACATTGTGCCATAAACACAATAATGCCCACTATCTCTTGCAAAAGACAGCCGTCCTATTATTCACTCCCATCCGATTAACGACTTTCATTTCCTGTCTGGCCCTTGATTTTTCCATTTCATCAAAATATTTGATAAAACTGTATGCTTAGGATGTGACCCGGGGAAAACTGTTTAATTTGATGTAATCGGTAATACATGGATGATTAGTCAAGAAGTAGATGAAATAGCACATCTGATTTCAACCAGCTGAGGGGAATTATCCCTTCTTCTGGGGATATTGACAGTGGCATAACGGAGAACAATTAATTTCATATTTCACTAAACATTCTGCAGAATCACCTTCTGTAATATTTATGCTAGTTTCCAGAAAACCTATTTCATTTGAACTATTTTGTTATTTGCAATTACTGTTACTATTTAA